CCCTTGATCCATTCGGATGCCAGACTGCTCGATGCGATCGCCGAGCCGCAGCCAAACGTCTTGAATTTCGCATCTATTATTTTGCCGTTCTCATCGACCTGAATTCAGTGACACTCTCAGACCGCCGATGCTGTTCAGTAATTCTTTTCTTTCGGAATACTGCGAAAGGCATAGGGCAGGAAGGAAATTCATACCCACGAGGTCCTCTTTTCGCTGTGTATCTCAAAGGATCAACAAAGGTCGCGCGGCTCTCTGTACAGTAATTTCAAAAATCTTTCAAAAGCCAAGTAACTGAATTCTTCTAAATAATACTAAGTCAAGTCTTTAAGCTTTTCATCTTTTCACTGCGCGATGCCTCGTCACACGGTATTTCGATGTCTCCCATCACGATTCAGTACACGACATCGTTCTACAACAGATGAGGAATCCAAACTTTCGGGGAAAAATCATACAGCGTACTGAGAGCCACGCGGTCTCTCCTTCTAGGTACCTGTGCATCCAAAGCCTCGAACACCCAAGCGCTGCTGAAAGATTTACTCTTGGCACATGTTCTGTGGGCGATGGTTATCATAAGAGGATCGCTAACCGCTGAAGTGAAGCAGCAGCATGCATCTTGTATTTTTGTGTAGGACGAAGGAAACAGAAAGCCAGGAGCCAGGATCACCGGCAGCTTCAGTCGCAGGCTATCCGACTGCTAATGGGACGAGCAGACAAGTATATCATCAAGCAACACATCTCACTTTTATTTGAAGCTTCATGACGTCGCCGCAAGCCGGCGCTCCGACAATGCCGGTGCCAACACTCGGATCGTCCTTGTCCAGAGAGCCGACATTCCGCGGATGCTCGTAATGATCGATGACTTTCTTGTGATAGAATGCATCTAACACTCTTGTGTTCGCGCTCGGAGACAGTAACAGTGCAGGGAGTTTCGTCCGAAGTGATGCCATATTCGTCGTTGCCTTAAAATTTGATGTTAATGGAACCGACAACACCACATATCGTATTTTTCCGCGTGTCTTGTAAGCAGCCACCCCCCTCCCCCCCTCAGCTCGCTTCTAATTTCTTCCTTTTTACTCAAGGGAAATAGGCAGCTCACATGAAAAGCGCAACATTTCGTGAGGGAGCAACCAGGCAGCCGTTAATCATATGCACATCAAACCACTTTCAACACAAAAGCCCGGTGAGGCGACCTACAAGACACATAAGAAAGTTAACCTTTCCCTTGCTAAGGTAAGCCTGTTGTGTGTTCTCCCATCCCGAAAAGTTCTTAATCACAGAACCACCTCCAGCCTCTTCGCTCTCCCACCCACCGGCAAAGATCATCTCATCCAGCAACTTAAATTTAACCCATCCCAACCAAAAACGCTTCTGGAACTTCCGGTAACAAGCCCTGCGCACAACGTACTCAAAAATCAGGACTTTCACAACTCAGTCCGGAGGACAGCAGCCATTCGCCCAGCGAGCTTCCCCTGGTATTTCGCAACTTGTAAATCACGAGATTTCGCAGGTGGCTGATGAGAGTTTTTCAGTGAACCGTTTGTCAGGCGACCACTAAGCTGCAGTATTTTACGAAATAGATCGATCCTCCGGCCTCATTCGTCCTCCCAAAACCACCGCGTAAACTGCTGTGAGCGCTGTGGGAATTAGCTGTGCTTATGCCCCACATCCTCCCCGTCCCATCTGCTCTGCTCAACAGATCAGGAGGTAAGCCGTTCGCATCGACCGCAGCTTTGTCAGCACGGATGCAGCAGCCGGCGTAGTCCTGTGCACGTTGACACGCTCTCCGCGAATTCAGCGGTTAAGGCCGAGAAGAGACTGCACACCCACCTTGCCCCCCTCAGATAAGCACCAGCAAGAACGCGACCCAATCATTCCTCGCTCGCAAATTACAGTAACTAAAACTCGATTCGGGCTGAAAGGCGAGTTGCAACCACTGATCGAGGGACGGAGGTAAGGAAGGCGGCGAGGGCGAGGGCGAGGGAGGACGGGCATAGGGGTCAAGGCCAGTGGTGATGCTCCAGGTTTTTGGGAGTCGTGAAAGAGGGGGAGGGGGGAAAGGGATGGTGGGCTGTTGACTGCAAAGGTCTTGGTTGGGGGTAGAAACCACAAATAGGCTGGATCCTGTAGTATTTTGTGCTCAGCGTGAAATTGTGCATTGGGGGAAGTTAGACGCTCTGCATGCACTCATTTTTCGGTTCGGGCTCGAGCAGCGAAAACTGTGGTAGCGGCTTATTCCTTCTGGACAAAGTCCTATAAGTTGCGTTCAAGACTGCTAACTTCTCCTCAGCACCGAGTTTGACAGCGAACACAAAAAATCGGCAGGGAGCGCCTAAAGATAGGAACTGGAAACGGGGGGGAGGGGGAGCTTTATGGGGACAACCCCTCTCCCCCGTTCCCAATTTCTACTTTTGAGCTAAATCTCAACCCTCCCCCCCTCCCCCGATCAATAATTCCACCCCTGTCCGGTGTTGCGATCTCGTAGGTATCAACCCCCCCCCCTACTCCCACTCTCTCTCGTCCCGTCTGCAGTGCCCTATCCCCTCTCCCTTCCACACTTTTCAATCATCGCAACTCGCTGATCCGTCCGAGCCGAGCCGAGTTTAAGTAGTCGTCCACAGTGATGTCCTCCTGATTTTGGTCCTGCCTCGTTAGATGTCACGCCTTCTTCCGACTGTACCTAGCGACATCTTGGTAACTCCGGTAGAGTCAAACTCCTAGGCCTATTTTG